TGCTGTTGTTAAATACAGGTCGTGCCATTACCCTGGCGCCCGGAGGAGCCCGCCGCTCGCTGCCCCTGCCCGGCTGGCCTGGCGCCACGGTAAGGCGGCAAAGAAAAGGATATTCATTCCCCCGGGAGTGCTCAGTGGAAGGATGCGGACTGAGGAAGGATGTGCAGTCACAGGAAATGTACCAGCTTTATGTCTTCTAAACTAGAAGCGGCTGTAAGCCTTTATCCTTTAAGTTCTTAAGCAGCTGGATTGTGCTGGTTATTGTCTTCGTGTCCGGTGCGCGTCAGTATTGTCCAGGTAGTTGGTTAATCAACAGCAGAATTCCTCCCCTCAGTGCTGTTTTTTTGGTAGCTGCTGCGTCCACGGCCCGGGTCCTGTTCGCACCTTGGAGTCCAATCCTGAACCAGAGCTGCTGCTTGTCAGGACCAGCCAGGGGCTGGTGGAGAGGTTACTGGAGCTGGTCAGGACCCTTCTCTGCAAGCAGAGATGTAGTTTCTAATCCCAGGTCTAGCAGATATGTAAATATTTGAACAACGGTGTGTCTGGATATAACCAACACACACACTGAGCTTACATGAAAATCCTAACTGTAAGCTGGGCAAAGCTATTTCTGCTCAGGATGTCCGAGACAGAACTGAGCCCGGAGACAGGAGCTACAAGGTGAGGCAAGGACGAACCTTGCGGGGCACGGCGGTGGGGAGTGTACCATCTCATAAGCCATCACAGACCATGTCACGTACCTGCAGCCAGGGAGGCTGAATGAGGCTTCCCCAGGCTCCTGGAGGAGGGCAGCAGACAGCAATTATCTTTCCCCTGACCTGGCCCAAAGGAGGAATTTTATCTGTCTTACTGGCTTTCCCAGCTATTTGCTAGACAGCAAAGGAAACAGACGCAGGAAGATTGGGTCCAACTCAAAGTTTTTAAAATACTTGTGGTTACATACACTTTGCTTTGCCTTCAGCTTCAGCTTTTCCCTGTTCCCTAGTCTTTCCTCTGTATTTCCAGATTCCACTTTTCTTACCTCCCGAATGCTGCCCACTCCCCACTCATTCAGCTCATGCCTGTGTCATGGTGCTTTTCTGTCTCCGGTGTTCCTCTTTTGGTCCAGTTACTAAACTTATAACCTGCTTTTTCTCTCCATTTATCCTTCCCCAACCTATTTTTTCCATCACCTTGTTTGAACCGCCACTATAATTGCAGCAAGTCAATCCAGCCCTGCACTACTTCACATCTCCTATGGTTCTGAAGAGGCTCAGCTATAAGATGAAGTGGCAAGATAACAGTCCCTGTAACAGGGGACTGACTATGTTCACTTCTTCCAGGGTTGTGCAAGCCTTCACCCAGGCTTCACAGGGAGAGGTTGCAGAAGGACATGTGGAGGAAATGGGTCTTTCCAAAACAGGTGACTCTGTGCAGACCTACCCCAAGAGCCCAGCCCAGAGCCTCAGGGGGATGCAGGTGCCTGAATCGCCTTGGAATCTAGGAGAGTTAAACATCTATCTCCTTTTGAGGCTCTTGTTCTCCACATCTACAGACCTTAGACTTGCTGTACCCTACAGGGAGCTTAGGGTTTCTCCCAGTGCTTTACTGCTTGATACCTGCTCCAGAGCTGAGGTCCAGCAGAGCTGCTCACTCAGCCCTCTGCACTTGGGGGTGCTGGCTGCATACAAACACACTTGTGCAGGAACACCTGTAATCATTTACCAGTTCCTCGTACCAGGACCACCTTTACCAGAAGCTCTACAGGTAAGCTTAATAGTTTATTGAGTAATGTGCTCGTCTATAGTGCTGCGAGAATCTGGCCTGAATCCTATTCATAAGGGAGGACCTGGTGCGTGGCAGTCTGACTTGGTTGCTGAGGACAAGACAAGACTCCACATCTGGTCTAACAAATCGGCCCAGGACAGACAACAGACAATGACCACATAAGTGAAATACATGGCACAGCTGAATCTAAAATCCTTCAAACACGTTATTTCAGGCCTTGACCACGTCTGCTGTGCAAAGTTTCCCTGTGCTTGCAAACAGCAATACAGAGCTTAGCCCAGTGGAAATACCTATAATCAGAACTAATAATTCTCTCACAATCCAAGCAGCTACCAAAAGACACCTTGTTGCCCAATGCTCTTTTTTTGCTCATACCTATTCCTCTGCTTTTTAAACCTGACCTGCTTAGCTCATGCCAGTTGTCAGAAATGAGATTCTGGATCTCTGCCCAAAGAAGAGAGGGGAAGGCAGCACTCTTCCCATACAGAGACTTCACATCAGGGACTCGGTATGAACGTGCAGCTATAGGATGGCTTATCCACAGGGAAAGGTTTTCACAAACAGCTATCCAAAGACTTTGTTAGATGACTAGTGGTTATGAGCTTTTTTTAATCTTCCTTTTTTATCATGTAAGACATTCCCTCCAGCCTCATCATCTGGTACTCATCATCCTGCTGACCTTGACTTGGGATTGTGGTGAAAATGCATTTTGGCTCAGAGGTACACCCTTCTGCCAGCTCTTCCATCTCCTTCTGAGCTCCTTTGCAGGAGCAGGGGATATGAAAATACCTTGTGTTTTCCACCTCCAGAATCACAACCTACTGGATCCTCCTTGCTAAACCCTTCCTCCTCCTCCTCCCTTTCTCCAGCTTGCCTCCTGTTGCCTCCCATACACTCACAAAATATAGCACTGTCATTCTCCCCTCCTTCCTGTGCTGCTACAAATTACTCATGCCATAGCATGCCATGATGGTCAGTCTAGTTTTAAGGCATATTGTTCCAGGTAAATAACGCCACAGCCACGTGGCACCTTGCCCTGAAGTAGCAGGATTCCCATTTCTGTTCACAAGACTTGGAAAGGTGCTGCGCAGACCTGTTTCTTAGGCTGGATCACGTCAGCTTTTCTCCCGCAGCAGAAATCCCGCAAAAGCTGTTCTTTTGTCAATAAAAGCCATTCCCTGAGCAGACCACATTTGTATTGCTCCTTGCTCGTGCCGGCCCTCGTTCCTCCTCCTGCTTCTGTGTCTCTGGAGGACCATGGCACAGCACATTTCATCTCCTTTGCCTTTAGCAGGAGCACACCTTACCCGGGCAATTCTTTGCCAGTGTATCCTCCGCACTGGCCTCTGTCGTGTGGAAGAGAAGACTGCACTCTCCAGCTCGCTTTAACAGGCAAAGAGCCATCAGCCAGGTTACCTCTCCACAGCTTTCCTAGTTAAACCAGGCATAATTGGCACAGCGTCAGCCATCAGGCATCCCTGAAAACGAGATGGGAAGGTAAAGGAACCCCCCCAAATCGACCGCCGCTCTCTCCCGTGTGCCCCGTCACACCAGAGTCCCGCAGGGGACCAGCACGGGTGGCAAGGCGGCGACAGGGGCCACAAGCACCTGGGAAGGGCAAAGCCGCCCAACGCTTCAGCGTGCGGGAACGGGGAGGGAGAGCTGGCAAGGGCTTTCCCGGGGGGATCCTGGCCATTGGCAGCCCGCCGCAGGGCTGCTTGCTCCAGCCGCCCTGCCGTGAGATGACGGAGCCCCGGTCTGAGCTCACGGGGAGGAGAAAGAGGCCCTCCCAGAACAGCTGGGAAGGCAACCTCCTCGCCCGGGAGGAGCGGGAGCCGAAGGAATAGCTCGGAGCGTCGCCTCCGCCTCCTGCAGGCAGGCTCAGCGAGAGAGCTCGGAGGTGCTGCTCGGGCCGCGCAAGGCTCGGGCCGCCGGCTGCAGTAAACAGCCTTTCCTTAGAGAGGCGGGGGGGGTGGGGGGTGTGGGTTCAAGCCTTGGCCGCGAGAGGGGGCTGCGGCCCCGCCGGGGGAACGGCGGCCCAGGGCGCGCCGGGGCCGCGGGGACAGCACCTCCGGGCAGCCCGCCGGCCCCCCGGTAAGGCCGGGGACGCGAAGCGCGGAAGCTCCTGCTGAAGTACCGCCGCGTGGAGATGCCCACAAGGCAGGAGATTCACCCGCCCGGCCCTTCTACTTGACCCTGCTTCTCAGGAGACACCCTTCAGAGCTCCCAACGGAAGAAACGTAACAGAAAAAAACAGAACGGAACTATTCAAATTCCATCATTTCCCCTCAGAATTTCTTTCGGGTTTTTTTTAAGTACGAAGGGGAGCATTGAGGGTGGCAC